TGTGCTGTGTTGAGTTGAGTTGTGTCTGTGTGTGTTGCGCCTGTGAGTCGGTGTGGCTGCATGCACGGCGCCATGCAGCTGCTCAAGGAGGCCATGGTGATTTTCTGGCTCTCCCTCTCTCCCGCTCATCCACCACACAACGCTACCGCACAATACTGATCCGTACCGCTGCACACCTCTCTAACGCCATGCACTCTCTGCCTGCCACCCACTCCCTCCCTGCACCAGGTGCATCGCGAGCCTCCACACCCCTCGCACCACACCCCACTGCCCCACAGTATCGAACTGTACCGCACGCACACCATCCTTCCCCCATCCCTTCGTCCCCTCCGCATTCCCTGGCCTTGCACCAGTTACTTCACGGGTCTGCTCGCCCCATGAAAGAAAATCCTGCTTATTCAGCAAAACCTAGCACCACCTAGTATCGAATCGCACTGCACACCACCCTTAATTCGTCCCTTCTGCTTCCCCCTCCGTGCATCAGGTACTTCACGTCACGGGCCTGCTCGCCCCATGGAAGGGCGTTCTGCTCCTCCACCACACTACACCACCACACAGTGCTGAACCGTATCGCACGCCACCCTTTCCCCACCCCCTTCACCTGTCCCCACCTCCTACCTGCATCAGGTACTTCACGGGTCTGCTCGCCCCATGGAAGGGCATTCTGCTCTTTGGCCCTCCTGGAACAGGCAAGGTAAACAACCACTCTCCCTTACTTGCAACAACCACTCTTCTCTCTGTTCCCCTGCCATTATTCTCCTCTCCCTCTCCCTCGCCCTCTCCCTCTCCCTCTCCCTCCCTCCCCCCCCACCTCACCCCAACACCCTAACTAACAACCCCCACTCCCCAACCCCAACACCCCCATACACGCACAGACAATGCTGGCCAAGGCGGTGGCTACAGAGTGCCGCACCACAAGGGGTGGTTAGAGAGGTTCAGCGCACCACAACCTCCGCATTGTGTTGCCTTGCCACGCCCATTCCGCCATCCCACTCCTCCTCACCCCCACACCCACACAGACAATGCTGGCCAAGGCGGTGGCAACGGAGTGTCGCACCACCTTCTTCAACGTCTCTGCCTCCACGCTTGTCAGCAAGTGGCGAGGTGAGCTTGAGTGAGCATGCAGGCGCGCTGCACCCTTTGGTTTATGTTGCCGTGTCGTGATGCCCGACTCTGATATCGTACAAAAGGACATCTCGCCGTTTTGAGACGTCCCAAAACACTTCTTCAAAAAACGCGCTGCACCCTTTGGTTTGTTTATGTTGCCGTGTCGTGATCCCATCCCTGAATCTGAGTTCGTACAAAAGGGCATCTCGCCGTTTTGAGACGTCTCAAAACACTTCTTCAAAAACGCGCTGCACCCTTTGGTTTGTTTATGTTGCCATGTCGTGATCCCATCCCTGACTCTGAGTTCTTACAAAAGGGCATCTCGCCGGGGCATGAGCTTCGATTCGATGCACGGCAGTGAGGAGCTTTGAGAAGCTGCAGGCGATTCAGAGGAGCTGGTGCGCATGCATGCTTTTCCACGAGGCGCGCGCCCTGGCGCCTCCCACCATATTCCCGGACGAGGTTGATGCCCTCACCAGCCACTGCTATGCCACCGACCCACCCACCAACCTCCTCGTCTTCCCACACCCCTTTGCATCTTTCCCCCCCACAGGCGACTCTGAGAAGCTGGTGAGAATGCTGTTGGATGTGGCGAGAGCGCTGGCCCCCTTCCACCATCTTTCTTGACGAGGTGGATGCCCTCATCAGCCACCGGGGGAAGCAGCTACCCACCCAGTTTCCCGTCTGTTCAACCCCCAACCCAACCCACCACCGCCTCCCTTACAGGTGATTCCGAGAAGCTGGTGCGGATGCTGTTTGACGTGGCACGCGCCCTGGCCCCCTCCACCATCTTTCTTGACGAGGTGGATGCCCTCATCAGCCACCGGGGGAAGCAGCTACCCACCCAGTTTCCCGTCTGTTCAACCCCCAACCCAACCCACCACCGCCTCCCCTACAGGTGATTCCGAGAAGCTGGTGCGGATGCTGTTTGACGTGGCACGCGCCCTGGCCCCCTCCACCATCTTTCTTGACGAGGTGGATGCCCTCATCAGCCACCGGGGGAAGCAGCTACCCACCCAGTTTCCTGTCTGTTCAACCCCCAACCCAACCCACCACCGCCTCCCCTACAGGTGATTCCGAGAAGCTGGTGCGGATGCTGTTTGACGTGGCACGCGCCCTGGCCCCCTCCACCATCTTTCTTGACGAGGTGGATGCCCTCATCAGCCACCGGGGGAAGCAAAGCAGCTACCCACCCAGTTTCCCGTCTGTTCAACCCCCAACCCAACCCCACCACCGCCTCCCCTACAGGTGATTCCGAGAAGCTGGTGCGGATGCTGTTTGACGTGGCACGCGCCCTGGCCCCCTCCACCATCTTCCTGGACGAGGTGGACGCTCTCATCAGCCACCGGGGAGGTGGGACAGGCGAGCACGAGGCCAGCAGGCGGCTCAAGACGGAGCTGCTTGTGCAGGTGGGAAGAGGGGGGGTTGGCGTTGACGGGGAGGAACATGATGGTATGACGGTATGAGGGTGTGAGGGCGAGCACAACGCCAGCAGACGCCTCAAGACGGAGCTGCTCAACGTGACTTTGCTCTCACACTCTCACTGCGGTGGGTCTCACTGGCCAGCATCCCCTTTCACCTGCCAGCACCGTTCTGAACCGTGCTGTGCGTGCAGATGGACGGGTTGAGCAGCCATCAGACCTGGTGTTTGTGTTGGCCGCCACCAACGTATCCGCACCTCTCTCACCTGCCTGCACCACTCTCAACCGTTGTTCTATCTGCAGATGGACGGGTTGAGCGGCTCGTCCGACCTGGTGTTTGTGCTGGCCGCCACCAACCTGCCGTGGGAGCTCGACACTGCCATGCTGCGCCGCCTCGAGAAGCGCGTGAGTCTGTCGGCATGACATTGCATGGTATGCATGCCGTGGCATGGCATGGTCATGTGCCACATGCCTGTGCAATGCTCCTGACAATTGCCGCCACCAACCTGCCGTGGGAGCTCGACACTGCCATGCTGCGCCGCCTCGAGAAGCGCGTGATTCTGTCGGCATGACATCGCATGGTATGCATGCCGTGGCATGGCATGGTCATGTGCCACATGGCTGTGCAATGCTCCTGACAATTGCCGCCTCCAACCTGCCGTGGGAGCTCGACAGTGCCATGCTGCGACGGCTGGAGAAGCGCGTGAGTTGAGTTGTACTTGCCACCGTGGCATGGCATGGCATGGCATGGCATGGCATGGCATGGCATGGCACAGCATCTCCCTCTCTGCTCTCTCCCCTCCTCCCATCCCACTCCCCTCACTTTTCATGTGCCCTCCCCACTTCCAAACCCCGGCGCCTCTACGAGACTCAGATGCCCTGCTGCTGCAGCCACTCTTAGAGTGGACTCTAAAGTCCTCGTACTCCAGAGTGGATCTAGTCCCCCCTTTCCCCACCAGATCCTAGTACCTCTACCAGACTCTGACGCCCGCAGAGCCATTCTCTCCTCGCTGCTGCCACGGCCGCACAAGGCTGCATGGACGGGCACTGGCCTGCACATACAGGCGCCCACCACGCACATACAGGCGCCCACCACGCACACAGATGCTCACAGCGTGGGGAACGATGGCAGTGCAGATGTGTGTAAGGATGGTTCCGCGGAAAACGAGGGTGGAGGAGCAACTGCCGGTCGTGAATGTGTGGGGGTGAAGTGGAGAGGGGCTAATGGGGTGGTGGCGGTGCAAGCTAATGGCTGCTCTGATATGCCTCAGAATGGGATGGGGCCACGGGGGATTGATTGCAGCTGGTGCGTGGTTGCTCAGTGCAAGGAAATTGAGGAGCATGGGATAGGGGACGGCGATGGGGGGTGTGGCGGAGAGAGGAGGAGAGATGATCAGGGCGTGAGGGAGGATGAGAACCAGAGGGAGGAAGCGGGGAGCAAGGAGGAAGGAGAGGGGGCAAGGGAAAAGGCGAGAAAGGAGGAAGGGAGGAGACGGGAGAAGCAATGGGAGGAGGAGGTCGACTTAGAGGGTGTGGTGGCGGCAACGGAAGGGTATTCAGGTGCTGACATGCGGCTGCTGTGCAAGGAGGCAAGCGAGGAGGCAAGCGAGGAGGAGTGGGAGAATGAGATTGGATTGGAAGGTGTGGTGGCGGCAACGGAGGGGTATTCAGGTGCTGACATGCGGCTGCTGTGCAAGGAAGCTGCCATGCGGCCCCTGCGCCGCCTCATGGTCCTTATTGATGGGGCGGAGAGGGTAGTAAAAGGGGAGAGTGGAGAGAGGGGGGAGAGGGGGGAGGAGGGGAAGATGGGGACTCGAGAGGAAGGGGAGATGGTGGATAGAGGGGCGACTGGGGAGCGGGGGGAGAGAGGGGAGAAATGGGAGAAGGAGGGTAGGGAGGAAGTGATGGAGGAGGTGGTGAAGGGGGCAGAGGGTAAGGGTAAGCAAGCGGAGAGGGCTGAGCCGGAGCATGTGCTTGTGCCTGTGCTTGGGCCGATCACGCGGGAAGACATGCAGATGGCGCTGCATGTGACCAAGGCGCTGGGCAGGGTGCATGCTGACAGGTACCTTGCTTTCGACCGGGAGTTCGGCAGCAGATACACGTGAAATGAAAGAATGATGTGTGTGTAGTGTATGTTTTGATAGGCTCCATAAGGAGCAATTGTATAAAATGATTTCATTCATGACTAAGATGTTAGGAAAACGATCCAGTAAAATGTGGCATTGTATATTTTTCCCCTTGATAGCTGTCATTGAATATCACCTAGTCGCATTCGTATAATGTGAATCTGAGAGTACTGGAACCGTATCATAGCTGCAACCAGAAATATTGTGCTACTTTATTGTTATTCCGTAAGGACAACCTTCAAAGCGTGTAGCGGGTTGGTTTCTCGAGCCTCCCTCAAGAATGGTCAAAGGAGGGAAGTTGGCCAGACAGGTTCCGCACCGCATTTCTCGCCGCATCTGCCGTCCAATGCGCATGGCTTCGCCTACTTGTCCCTCCCCTGCTTGCCACATTCCCCGCGCCACCAACCTCTCTCTCTCATCGTGCTCATCCTTCCGCGCGTCCACATTGGTGCCTGTTCCGCAATCCGCGGCACCGCGAATCCAACGACCGTCGCTGGCCGTTCGATGCGCATCTGACGGTGAGGATGGGGACGGAGGGGGCGGGAGCAAGTCGCGGCTGGGAAGCATCATCCGCCGGAAACACGCTACGGTGCAGGTGGGTGAGAGTCGGTGCAGGTGAGAGCATTGTTTGAAGAGACCGTTCGGTGCAGGTGAGACTCGGTGCAGGTGAGACTCGGTGCAAGTGAGACTCGGTGCAGGTGAGACTCGGTGCAGGTGAGACTCGGTGCAGGTGAGACTCGGTGCAGGTGAGACTCGTTCGAGGCGCCGTAAAACCCGTACAGATAAGAGTGAGTCGCCTAGGACTGCTAGCAATCGACAGCGCGCCTCAGCCTTGTTACCCCGTTCTCCCCTCCCCATCCATAATCCCCCCTTTCCCTCTCACCCTCCCCTCCCCTTCCTCCACCTCCCCTTCCCCGCGCGTCCGCGGTCCCGCAGGCGCGGCTGCAGCAGATGGGGCAGGACGAGGTGAATCGCCGCCTGGAGGGCGCAGTGCGTCTGCACCCGCCCGCACATCCGTACCCCGTTCCTTCCACCTTCCCCCCTTCCTCCGGCCGACCCCTCCCCTTTCCCACAGGCGCGGCTGCAGCAGATGGGGCAGGACGAGGTGAACCGCCGTCTGGAGGGCGCAGTGCGTCTGCACCCGCCCGCGCAGCTCACAGACCTGCTGCTGCGCGGGGCCCCGGGCGCGGAGGGCGGGGGCGGCCTGGAGGGGCCAGGGGGGGCGGATTGGGGGCGCACGACGCTGGTGGTGGAGGTGGCGCGCGCGCGCGCCCGTCCGAGTCCCCTGAGAGCCTTGCCAGGCGCTGCCAACAATACGTTGCTCTTGGTGCGTGGGAGCATGGGTGGACAGGGGGGATGGGGAGATTGGGGGCGCCCAGGGAACAGGGGGGATGGGGAATTTGGGGGCGGGGGGCAGGGGGTGACAGGGGGGATGGGGAATTTGGGGGCGGGGGCCGGGGGGCGACAGGGGGGATGGGGAGATAGGGGGCGCGGGAGGGCAGGGAAGCGCGCGGCGCTGGTGGTGGAGGTGGCTCGGGGCTCGCCCATCAGAGTCGACTGAGAGCCTTGCCAGGCGCTGCCCACAATACGTTGCTCTCGGTGCGTGTATGGGAGGGTGGATGAGGGGGTGGGTGGAGTTGGTGGGTGCGTGTGTGGATGGGTGGGTGGGTGGGTTGATGGGGAGGGTTGGTGGAATAAGTTAGTGCCACTCAATTTACAGTGAGTCCCTTGTCTTGTCTTTCAGATCAGAGTTGAATTCTCCCGCTTCCTTGTTCCACATCCCTCACACGAACACACTCATCACGTGTGTGTCCTTCTGCTGCTCTCCCCTCCCTCTCCCCATTCTCTTCCCTGCTTCAGGCCGCTCCCCTCCGGACCAGATTCCTTACCCTTCCCCCATCGTCCCCCCTCCCCTTTCAAGAGCGGGCACAATGATGGTTTGCTGGCCTTCGCTTAGAGTAGAAAGAGCCACCGCTCTCCCCTCTCCCACCCCTCTCCCTTCCCCCCCTCCTTCCCCTCCCACCGCTCTCCCTTCCCCCCCTCCTTCCCCTCTTCTCCCCTGCCGCTTCCCCAGGAGCGGACACGGTGATGGTGTGCTGTGATGAGGAGATTTCCCCTGATGGCCTTGCTGACGTCAGAGCTGTATCCAGAGGTGTGCTGCTGCTGCTAGTGTCCGATTTTTCCATGCAAAAAAAAAAAAAAAAAAAAAAAAAAAAAAAAAAAAGAGAAACACAAAATGCCATGCCTTTCATTTCCCCTTTCCTTTTTTCATTTTCCTATGCTTCTCATCTATTCATTCTTTCAAGTTTCCCCATTCCTCCCCACGGGTAAATGACATCCCAGTAACCGTTTTCACACTTCCTATGTCCGTCTACCCGTCTCCACTCCACTCCTCTTCTACGCCCACCAGCCCTCCCTGGAGTGCCAGTCATTGTAAAGGACTGGATGCTACATCCCATTCAGGTAGTCCTGCTACATCCCATTCAGGTGTTTATTACTGGAACCCATACCATCTGCCACAGTACCACCCACTTCTTCTTCATCTTGCTGTTCTCGGCACCAGATCTTCTCTTGAGAAAAAAGCAGCACTTTCCGTTGCACCTCCCATCTGATTCCCATGCCTCTGATTTTGTGAGTACATTGTTTACACACTGACTCTGTGTGTCTGCATGGCGGTGGGGATGTGTGTGTGCGGCTGGCTGCCTGAATGGGTGGAGGAACTGTGATTGTGTGCGCGATTTTGGGCGTGAGGGTGTTTGCATGTGCGGGTGAGTGAGGGAGTGAGAGCGTGTCTGTGTGAGTGAGTGAGTGAGTGAGTGAGGGCAGGTGGCAGAAGCAGCGGAGGCAGGGGCAGCAGCTTTTCATATAGTGCACGGGGTTCTCAATAAAGGTGACTCCCCACACCCGCCGCTCCACCTCACCACACCCTCTTCACCACCTTCCCACAGCCCCACAGAAGAACCTCTAAGACCTTTGAAGATCCTCAAAGATACTTTTAGATAATCCTTGGCAATGCTGCACTAAGCAGCTAGATGGTTCTCTTTGGCTTGCATGCTTAGCATTTTGACGGCCTCAATCCTGGCTGCCCAGAGCACCTAGCCGATACAGCCACGACCCACGATGACCCCCCTGGCTGTGATGCTTTGCCAGCCCGATGAAACCAGCTGCTGCTATCTTATCGCCTTGCCTGTTTGTACGCTCGTTTTTAGCGTGTTTGCGTGACTGCATGCGTACATTGTGCATGGATGCATGCATAGATGCGTGTGTGCATGTGTGTTGATGGTTGGACTGAACACATATGTATGCGGTGTCTGCATATGTGTGCATGTATGTCCATGTGTGTCCATGTGTGTCCATGTGTGTCCATGTGTGTCCATGTGTGTCCATGTGTGTCCATGTGTGTCCATGTGTGTCCATGTGTGTCCATGTGTGTCCATGTGTGTCCATGTGTGTCCATGTGTGTCCATGTGTGTCCATGTGTGTCCATGTGTGTCCATGTGTGTCCATGTGTGTCCATGTGTGTCCATGTGTGTCCATGTGTGTCCATGTGTGTCCATGTGTGTCCATGTGTGTCCATGTGTGTCCATGTGTGTCCATGTGTGTCCATGTGTGTCCATGTGTGTCCATGTGTGTCCATGTGTGTCCATGTGTGTCCATGTGTGTCCATGTGTGTGTATGCATGTGTGTGCAGCCACGGCTCCAATGCTCGCCTTTGCCTTTGGACTGGGAGTTGACGTGGCAGTAGAGGTGAGTCAACGCAAGTCAAGCAGGTGAGTCAACGCAAGTCAAGGTGAGTCAACGCAAGTCAAGCAGGTGAGTCAATGCAGACAATCTCACAAAGTTGGGACCGTAAATGAACCATCGTCGATGCACAACAACATCGTCAAACCCATCAACCCCATCAGCATCATTTGCATCATCAGCATCATCAGCATCGTTTGCATCATCAAGAGCACCGTCACAACAGTGATAGCACCAGCCATGACCCCAACAGTCACCTCATGGTTTCCCTTCCACTCATACAATTCCCATCCCCATCCCCATCCCCATCCCCATCCCCATCCCCATCGCCATCTGCACCACCATCAACATCATCAGGTGGTGAATCTGGAGGAGCTGAAGCGACTGGAGCCGCTCGCCATTCCCCTCTATGGCCTCAACCTCTCTGTTGGGCTCGCTGTGAGTTCATTGACGGCTGGCAGGGTGTTCACTGACGGTTAGCAGTGAGTTGATAGACTGCTGGCAGTGTGGTCGCCGACTGTTAGCAGTGAGTTGATAGACGGCTAGCAGTGACAGTGAGTTTCAACCACCAAAGTTCCTTCTTCGGTCCGGCTACTCTTCGCAAATGCTACATTGGGCACTAGCACCGCTGTGCATCACCTCAAGGTGACTTTTGAGTCGACTCAAAAGTCACATTGGGCACCAGCACCGCTGCGCATCACCTCAATCTCTTTCCCAAATTATTTCATCCCCTACTCCCTCTCCCCGCTCCCCCCTTCCCTCTCCCCTATCCCCTATCCCCTATCCCCTATCCCCTATCCCCTATCCCCTATCCCCTATCCCCTATCCCCTATCCCCTATCCCCTATCCCCTATCCCCTATCCCCTATCCCCTATCCCCTATCCCCTGTCCACTCTCACTCCTCCTTATCGCCACTGAAATCAGCACTGGGTTGTCAGCATTGACACATGGTTGTCAGCATGGACACATGGTTGTCAGCATGGACACATGGTTGTCAGCATGGACGCAGGGATGCCATGTCAGCATGGGCGCAGGGATGCCATGTCAGCATGGGCGCAGGGATGTCATGTCAGCATGGACGCAGGGATGCTATGTGCAGCATGGTCACAAGTGTCGCATTGTCTTCCCTTTCCACATGGGTCTCCTCCCCCACATCCGACCCCTCCTCCCCCACAGGTGTCAGCACCCGGGTTCAGGCAGAGCGTAGCCAAGTCGTTGCTCTCCTCCATGCCTTGTGGAGCTTGCAGCGTGCCCTCTGTCTTCTCACCATATGCTATCTGTCGTCCCTCCCCTCATGGGTCTCCTCCCCCACATCTGTCCCCTCCTCCCCCACAGGTGTCAGCACCCGGGTTCAGGCAGAGCGTAGCCAGGTCGTTGCTCTCCTCCATGCCCTTTGGTGCTGCTGCTCTCGTTGTGAGTTGGTTACCATCTGCACAATGTAACCCTTTTCTTTGCTGGTAGAATGTGGTAGTTCTTAAAAGCTGCAGTACAGGTCAGTGCGTCTGTAATCACACGATGGATAGTGCACATCTCTCCATGGCTTCATGCATATATTCATGCATTCTTTCGTGGATGCACTAAGTCGTAACTTGCTTGCTGATGTGCTGGTTACATGGTAACCACACAGGGCGCCTCATCTGTGGAGGATGTGCGGATGATGAAGGCAGCAGGTGCGACAGCAATTGTGCTCAAAAGGGAGGTGTTTAAAGGGATGGAGGGCGGTGGCACGGGGTTGGGAGAGAAGGAGGAGGAGAAGGCCTTGCAAGTCCTGTTTGAGACGCTCAACTACATCTTGACTGGCGATGACTAATGTTGACTTCCGTTGACTGATGTTGGCTTGTATTGACGGATGTTGACCAGCATAAACCGACGCCTGGGAGAGAAGTCCTACTGTCCACTGGCAGTGTCCTGATATATTTTTATTGAGAATACCATGGGATGGGCAAACTGGTGAAGGATATTAAATACTTGCTTATAAATCTGGAATATCCAGAGAAAAGAGGAGAGGGTCTTGGAGGGTGCTCGGGGGTTTCCAAGTGCAGCAACTACCGTATTTGTTTCAGAGGTGGGTAATGAATGTACCGATGACAACACAGGGAAGAAAGGGAGCTTACTCTGTTGTGGAGAAAAACAAAGGATTGCTTGCTTTGTAACGCATGATTTCCTTGATGAGTTGTTTCCTAAGCTCCACGTCTGAGATGCCTTCGCGACTCGTCTGCTGTATATGACACCCTCGGTTCCGACTCTGCTGCTGCAATTGTCCCTTCTCCTGATGATGGTGATGACATTGCTGCTGCTGCTGCTGCTGCTGCTGCTTCTGAATGGTCTGTAAGCCAATGGAATACATTTCAGATACAACCAGCCCATGTGCTGCTGATTTTGTACCATTGACACCATGGCTTCCACATCCTAATCTCAAGCTTTCACAGTCTGTCAGTACTGACCCACCACCACCATCAGCAGCAACATCACCAGCAGCATCACCAGCAGCATCACCTGCAGCATCACCAGCAGCATCACCAGCAGCATCATCAGCAGCATCACCAGCAGTATCACCAGCAGCATCACCAGCAGCATCACCAGCAGCATCACCAGCAGCATCACCTGCAGCATCATCAGCAGCATCACCAGCGTCACTAGCGCCAGCAGCACAAGGAGCATCAACAGCAGCATCACCACCGGCGCCATCACTGGCATGAGCAGCAGGCGGCAGGTTAAGGTCAGGGACGGTGTAAGCCCGGCTTGTGTGTGGTGACACAGCCATCCATGGGCTTGTGTGTGGTGACACAGCCATCAATGGGCTTGTGTGTGGTGACACAGCCATCAATGGGCTTGTGTGTGGTGACACAGCCATCAATGGGCTTGTGTGTGGTGACACAGCCATCAATGGGCTTGACGACTGGGGAGTGAAGCAGCCGCTCCTTATTGCAACACCCTCACCTTCTGAAACACCCTCACCTGCTGCAACACCCCCACCTGCTGCAACACCCTCACCTGCTGCAACACCCTCACCTGCTGCAACACCCTCTCCTGCTGCAACACCCTCACCTGCTGGAACACCCTCTCCTGCTGCAACACCCTCACCTGCTGGAACACCCTCTCCTGCTGCAACACATGCCTCAACCATCTGCCTTGCACCATGATTGACCGGCTCAGGTGACTCAAATGGCCCTGAGAAGACCACAGTCAGGGGCTGCGGCATGGGCAAGGGCAGGGGCAGGCCGTGCGAGGGAAGCAGCGGCAGGGGCAGGGGCAGGGGCAGGGGCAGGGGCAGGGGCAGGGGCAGGGGCAGGGGCAGGGGCAGGGGCAGGGGCAGGGGCAGGCGCAGGGGCAGGGGCAGGGGCAGGGGCAGGGGCAGGGGCAGGGGCAGGGGCATGGGGCAGGGGCAGGGGCAGGGGCAGGGGCAGGGGCAGGGGCAGGGGCAGGGGCAGGGGCAGGGGCAGGGGCAGGGGCAAGCCTACTGAGAGCTTGGCATGGAAGTACGTCACCCAGGTGGGCCGGGGCGAGATACTGCTTGCACTGGTGGTGCCACCGCTGCTGCGGCAGTGAAGCTCCGGCAGGATTGTGCGTCCCTCCGGGCAGCCAGCCGCGGGGTGACTGGGTGTAGCAGCGATCTCTGACGGACTGCCGGCCGCCGAGCGCCTTGACTTGCCACTGCCACTAGAGCGTCCTGACTCTCCATCCATGGTGCGATGGCCAGCACCATCAGCAGCACCATCAGCAGCACCATCAGCAGCACCATCAGCAGCAGCATAGTGCTTCCGCTTCCTCACTAATGCCTCGTGCTCCTCCACATGCTCCACGCTGCCCTCCTGCTCCACGTGGCCCTCCTGCTCCACGTGGCCCTCCTGCTCCACGTGGCCCTCCTGCTCCACGTGGCCCTCCTGCTCCACGTGGCCCTCCTGCACCACCTTCCGACGGGCTTGCTGCGTCCACTCCACGGTCTCTCCTCCAGCCGCCATGCTCTGCCCCTCAACCACCTCCTTGTTGTGCTCTTGAACGACCTCCGTATGGTGCTCTCGCAGCAGGTGCTTCGCCCACGGGCTGCGTAACGCCATGCTCGCCACGAGCCTGCTTGCGATAAGCCTGCTCGCCACGAATTGCTGGCGCGCTCCATCACAGCCACGCCTCACAGCTCCGTGATCGTTTTTGAGAATTCTCATTCTCGAAGGTGACTCAGGATCAGCTCCGTGATGACGGCCCGTGCTGATGCTGGAGCCATCCGGACCATGATGCTCCCCATGCGGCTCAAGCAGCGAGATTGCGTGCTTGGCGTCGTGAGGAGGGGTCCATGCGGCAGCGGTAGTGGCGCCAGCCATGACCGGTGTATCCGTAGTGGGGCAACCAGCGTGTGCGCACGCTGCTCTTGAAAAAACAGGTTTCTCTTGAAAAGAAAGCAGGCTGCTTCTGACAAAGCGGGCCGGTATTGATATAACAAAGTCTTCTCCTGATAAGCAGGATGCTCCTGAAAAAACAGGCTGCTCCTGAAAAAACAGGCTGCTCCTGATAAGCAGGATGCTCCTGACCTGACCAGATCTGGCCTGACCAATGCTGTAGTGCTCTAGCAATAGTATATCGACTCACAGCTGACGTTGGACGGTTGATTTGACTTGCATCCTTCAACGGAACTTACTCCGCACACAGGTAATGATCGTACCGGTGCAGGTAATAGGAGATGTCTGGTAGAAGTGACGCCATCGATTCTGGTAAATGCTCGTTTACAGGAACCCATCTCGACCCCCTGCTGAAGCGCTAATACCGGAAGAGAAGCAAAAGGGGCAGCATTACTTGGATGATTAGTCATGACTCAGCAACAGGCTGTTCGAATGATCGAATTGAGATATTGTCGAAATATCTAACCATCGGTTTCAAGGCAACTGGGAGGTGAGAATTCCCCAATCCTGCTTACTTACCCTTCACTCGACTCTTATCGTCACTATAACGGGGACCCTTATCGTCACAATAACGGGGGTAGATGTTACGGCGTACCTATTCCCAGGCATGGCCGCCTGGTACGGCAAACCTCAGCAATTATGAAAATGCAATGTATTGCGGATTTAGTCTGACGTCACAAGTCCAGTAACAGCGGAATGAAGACCGCCTTTTTTCTTCTCCTGGATTGCTCAGCCTGTCATCTCACGTGATGGCGGTGACGCGCGTCCGCTCTTAACTCCGCTTCTGTGTAGGCTACCCCAGGACGACTCACAACAAATAGGGTATGAATCATTCTGTGTAACGGATGTCAACATTGGGGCATGCGCTATCTTTCAAGCTCAAAGCAGGTTTGGCAGGCGTACTTAGGATGCGGTACTCCTGGAGAAACGGGGAAGTTACCTTGGATGCTGTAGAAATGTGTTAAGGCCTGCAGACTCAAATCTTGATCCGCCAGTGCCTTGTACCCACGGCTGACAGGGCTGGTGACAACCAGCGTTGGGGTGATGTGGGGAGTGGGGAACTCACTGCGAAAGGCGGTGAACCCTATGATTCTTCTGTGCCACGTGTATTGCAGAATCCTGGTTATAGGGGTTCCATCATTGGGCAGGAGAACCACGACACGGCATCATTCCCATCACCGCCTTTGTTTGAGAGCTGGGATGAGAGAGGTCAGAATTGGGAGCTGGGATGTGTACTTTCCCATTTCGGGTTTAGTCCTCGCTCAAGCACGTGGTGATGCATGTGCACATGTGCAAACCTGCTGGCAGATGTCAAGAAAGGATAGCAGTCACCCTCCATGCTCGGGAGCGTGCTGAGAGCAATCCCGAGGGCAATGTCAACTGACCTAGAAATTGCCACGAACGTGCCAGAGACCAAAAGTGTGCAAGAGACCCCAGCTCGATGATGTTCATTCGCTGCGTCAAGGTGAATCGAAATTCGTACTGCAACTGTACCGTAACTTCATTCCGATGTGGGAGGGCGCTCTGAAGGTCGCCAAACATCGGGCGGAATCTAGGGTTAGAGCAGAGCGGACACCTCACCGCCATCACGTGAAATTCCAGCAGGCTCATCAAGAGAAGTCGGTCTTTATTTGGCTATTTAGATATGTCAGAGCGAATCCGAATCTCCAAACTTAGTGCATTGATTCAGCATGTGTGTCCGACTATCCACTAGGGCTCTACCTCGGATTACTTCCCCCGTTATAGTCGCGGCATTCGCTCAATAGTAGGGGAGCAGGATCGGAAAAATCACATCTCCCCATGGCGAATTAGAACCTCTGCTGTGATATATATTTTTAAAACAATCTCAATCTTATTCGAGCAGTGATGGCGATTACTACGAGGAATGCTCCCGCGGTTCCTTGCCTTCAAGCGCCAGCGAGGAGTCGCCATCCCTCGACAACACTTCGAGGGATGTCGACATATCCTGACGGTCGGAACCCTCGATCCGAGGCTTGACATTTACCAGCATCCCTCGAAGCTTGTCGGGGGATGTCGATGTTCCCTGCAAACACGCTCTAAGCACAACATAGAGCGGCTTTTTCCAGTACCCACGCACTCATCCACAACAGACTCAATCTGTTGCCTTAATTACTAATACCACCAGCGCTCAGAATTCCAAGCCTAGCACTACTAGCTGCTTGGGGAAACAGTTCGACGCTCAGGGATTCAAGTTGAAACCGTCCGAGTGTGAGTCGATATTCTGCTCGTGCGCTGCCGGGGTCACGTCGTTTGATAGGAATTTCCAGCAACAGCCGGTTTGTTATCAGAAAAGGCCTGTTCTTTACAGTGTTGCGGAAAGCATGGCGCCGCGAAGCCCGTGGACGAAACAGCTGCTGCGAGAGCACTACGCGGAGATTGGAAGAGTTCCATTCAAGAGGACGCAGCAGCAGGCACGTGGGAAGGTGGGGCGAGAAGGCAAGCGTGTGCAGGAGCACGAGGCAGCTGCGGGGAAGCGGAAGCGCTATGATGCTGCTAATGACGACTGCCATGGCGGTCGCACCACGTCCCCAGATGCAGAGACAGGACGCTCCAGTGGCAGTGGCAAGTCAAGGCGGCGGCGCACAACAGCTGGACGTCCTCCAGAGGTCACTACCACGCCCAGACGGCCCGCAGCTACGAGCTGGAGCTGGCCAGAGGGACGTGCGCCCCTACCAGAGCCTCAGCTTCACTGCTGCAGTAGCCGTGGCGCCGCCAGTGCAAGCAGTATCTCTCCTCGGCCCAGCTGGGGGGCATACTTCCATGCCAAGCTCTCACACGGGCTGCCCCTGCCGCTGCAGCTGCTTCACTCTCAAGAACTGCCCCTGCCTCTGCCCCTGCCCCTGCTTCACACACACGTCCTGCCACACTCTCTGCCTCTGGCCTTCTCGAGGGCATTCGAGTCACCTGACGTGGTCAATCAAGGTGGTGAATGTGGAGCGGCGGGTGGGAGGCTGATGGTAGAGGCGAGTGTTGGAGCACGTTCAGCATCTGTGTCACCGTATGCGGTCCCCGCTGCTGACTTTGTTGTCCTTGACCTGAACCTCCCCCCTGCTGCTGATGATGCCAGTGCTCGCGCCACTGGTGGTGGCGCCAGTCGTGGTCTTGGTGGTGGTGATGGTGGTGATGCTAGTGGTGCTGGCCTAACAGCAGTCGCTGATTGTGGGCGCACTCAATCTGCATGTGAAAGCGATCGGCTGGATGGTTGCATCCGCGACGCATTATCAGCGTCTGGGTTGGTCACATTGTCAGCACGTTTGGGTGGATTTAAGGGCGCTGCCTTGAGCAGCGGCAGCAGCAAGTTGATTGGTTCGCAGCTTCAGATGCAGCAATAGGGTGAAACGGAGCTAAGGAAACCTTATCAAAGAGATTTTGATTCACAAATCAAGAGCTGCCTCTTTTATTTGTAACAGAGTAAAGGTGTTGACGATAGTATTCCACTTCTGTTGTTGGGGCTGCGTACCGTATCTGGAGGGCATGTCATTTATAATGGCCACCTGATCATCAGTGCCATGTTGACGAACGGCATTATAAACGTCCATGATGTTTGGCTGAGCGCCCTAGGATCTTTGGTAGAGTTAAAGTCTGAATAAACGATGTGGTAGCGGAAGCGTTTTAAGTAAAGTCCTTGAACCACCTTGCGCTGGTATGTGAGGGCAAAGTAAAGTTGATTAAAGCAAAGAGATACAAGCATATATATACCGTATTCTCCCGGACATAACACCCACCCCTAATAGTACACCCCCGGGTAGCTTGTGCGGGGTGGGTGCTATAACCGACCTCGTTTGTACTATACCCCCCTTTTGGGGTGATTCTCTATAAGACCCGGGGGGGGGGGTGTTATGGGTGGCACAATTGCATATTTGTCTTATATTTCACACTGTTAGGGGTGCAATCTAGTATTGAAACATAGCACCAGCACCTAGCATCTCATAAACAACAGAAACATCACAACTACGGTAGTTATGGCTTTGCACTACAATGCTTCTTCTGGTGCTATCTAGTCCTCATCGTCCCCTGCGACCCATTCCTCACACTCCTCTCCGTCATAGCGGTCGGCGCGCCACCACTCATCATCCTCGTCGTTGAACACTCCCGCCTCCTCGCCTTCTTCGGGCGTGTTCCACTCCTCCTCTTCCGCCGCCGCCGCCGCCTCCGCCGCCTCCTCCTCCTCTGCGGCTACATCCTCCTCTGCCGGCTGCAGCTCCTCGGCCGGCGCGGGGGCCTCGGCGTAGAAGGGGTTGACGACGAGCTCGTCGTCAACCAGCTCGTTTACGTCGTCAAGCACCTCCACCTCACCCTTGTCCCTCATATGGGCAAGGATGAGGTGGTCCTCGCTGCCATTGATGGCGGTGGAGATCCCGCAGGTGATAAACGCTTTCTTCACGAGATCCTCTGGGACAGCTTCCCAGGACTCGTCGATCCAGCGGAGAACCAAGTCCGCAGGCGGCTTCTTCAGGTTGCCTGTGGGAAGGGAAGGAGTTGAAAAGTCAAGAATGTGTACTTGCAGTGTGTGCGCTGATGCTAGAACGATGTTGCTCAAACGGAACTCAAGACTGCAACTCACCTGCGCGAGTGGTTTGGTTGATGCCGACATCTTCGAACCATGTGCTGTAGCGGGAACGCACCCCGCACTTGAA